ATTCGCTTCAACTTTTATTGGTTTTCCATCAAAGGAAAGCCGTTAACTCTTTAGCAGAATGTCTCGTCACACCTGCGGGTATAAATGTTTGTTTGTGTAAAACTTTATCTTTCCTCTCAGAAAATCAATTAATTAAAGCTGCTAACGAGCTCTTAGCACTAATTGTTTTCTGCTTGTATTATGAATGTTTTGTCACAGATTATCTACATGTGGCCCGTGCTGACGAAACGAGTCAAAATCAGGATTACAGAGTTATTTTTGAATTCTTTAATGAATTTATTGATTTTTGGTGATTTATCAGCTAGCAACAAGCTAGCTTTGAGAGAGTGCCGGTTTGTAAACTTGATTTTTTTAAATATTTCTTTTGGTCTGGAAGGACGCCTTCGGGAATTCCGCCCATATATTTTAAAAAGGGAAGTTCTCAAGATTCGCAATGATGTCGAGCATTATATGACGGGATTTTCCCGCAGAGAAAAATGGTCAGTTTTTAGGGAAATTAATGGGATTATTTCAGAATGCTGTTTGGAAATTTAAATTTAAAGGTAGATTATATATACGCTATTGGATCTATAGAAATCTATAGACGGTCTTTAGCTGGTTTTTACACTAAAAGGAGTATTTATGATTATTGTGCAACCGTAGGAAAATGTTAGTAAAACAGACTTCTTTGAATAAATGTAATTTCTTCTTTTTCAGGCGTCTGATCCCGTCCCTCTGAAGAAGTCCAAACATGAAGACGTCCCGTCCCAGTCCCCGATGATGGACAAAGAGAAGCAGCACGACTGGCTCCAGTCCCTGTCCTCGTCCAATAAGGTCAGCGCGGTGACTCGTGAATGAAACGTCATGCGATTGTGCGTAAAGTTTAATGAAGAGCAAGGAAGCACAATCTTCCCCATGGTTTATTGATGCGTCTCCCACATGAAACATCGATGCTCCTCTTCAAATCTAAAAACCCAAGTTTTGTCCTGACCTTTCTGCAGGCGTGTGACGGCACAACCTCAGGAATAAATTTAATTATTGAACCGCTCCCGTGACCCGTGTACACAAATAACTGCTGTAAAACTTTGATCAACCAAAACTGAAACGGCCGAACACTCAGCCCGTTAACCTGTAAAGCCCAAACGTGGTTTTGGACTTACAGTATTACAGTATGTCACTAAAGTGAGTACACCCCTCACATCATGGACGGCGCTTTAATACAAAGTGAAGTCGTCAGCGTACGCTTGTGTAAGTGTATATTTGCAGTCCCCTCAAAATAACCCGACGACCATTATTGTCTAAACCACAGGCAACAAAGGGGAGTCCACCCCAAGTGAAAATGTCCAAAGTGTCAATATTTTGTGTGGCCACCTTCCAGCTCTGCTTCAAGTCTCTTGGACATGGAGTTCACTGGAGCTTCACCGGTCTCCACTGGAGTCCTCTTCCATGAGGCCACCACCGAGCTGGTGAACGTTGAGACCTCGCCCTCCTCCACCTTCAGTCTGAAGACGCCCCACAGATACGGAGTAGGGTTTTGGTCTGGAGACACTCTTGGTCAGTCCAGTGCCTTTGCCCTCAGTTTCTTTAGCAAGGCAGTGGTCCTCTTGGAGTGTCTGAGGTCGTTGCCCTGCGGCCGAGTTCCTGAAGGGAGGGGATCAGCTTCGGTACGTCTCAGTACATGTTGGGATCCATGGTTCCTTCAATGGACTGTCGCTCCCAACAGCCCCAAACAATGACACTCCCACCACCGTGCTTGACTGTAGGCACGGCCCACTAGTCTTTGTACTCACCTGGTTGCTGCTACACACGTTTGACACCATCTGATCCAAGTACGTTTATCTTGGTCTCGTGAGACACAGGACATGGTTCCAGTCATCCATGTGCTCAGTCGTTTGTCTTCAGCGAACTGTTCGTGGACTTTCTTGTTTGGAAGAGGCTTCCTTCTGGGTCGACAGCCATGCCAGTGTTTGGTGTACGGTCTGAGCACTGGCAGGGTGACCCCCCCACCCCTTCAACCTCTGCAGACTACTTTACTTCACGTTGTATCAAAGTGTCAGTGTTGTCCCGTGAAAACAAATGTTTAGTAAAATGTGAGGGGTGTTCTCATTATCAGAGTTATGACATAGCCAGACTCTTATTTTGAAAGTCTCGGTTAAAACCTTCTGTTTGGAGCTCAAAAGTTAAAATCTCCAGAAGCTTTTATTGGTTTCTTCTGAACGTAAAGTTTCAATCAGGACCAGTTTGTTCTAGCTCTACAGGATTTGTGGGGGCTGTCACGATGGAATGATCCAAACAAACCTGCTGGTTGCCATGGTGATTTCCTCCTCCTCTGTGGGGCGGTGCCACTTTTTCAGACAGGCAGACAGAAAGTAAGCCTCGAATGTAAAGTTGTTGAACATTGAACAACAGAAGTCCCTGCTGGATGAACTCGTTGCAGTTTGACGTTGAGACCCTCCTGCTGCCCTTGGATCAAAATGACCCACAGGCCTCAGTTTTAAGACTCACACCAAATGGCATCTAAGTGACCCCCCATGGGTTTCTGGGTCATAAAACTGACTCCTTCTGGGTTATTTTGACCAGCAGGATGGTTAAAAGAAAGCCATTCATAATGGGAGTCAACAAGGGTTTGTGCGTGCACACTCCCCACAGCTCCGAGTTCAAGACGACAAGTTTTCTTGTATAAACTGTAGATTTACTGTAAAGTTTGACCAATGAAATGAGTTCTGTGGTGAAATGTCCAAACCTGTTGAAGACGTCCACCTTTATTCAACCTGTTCACGAGGAAACGTCTACATCTGTTCATACAAAGTGTTAGCCAGCTGGAAACGGCAGAATATGTAAAGTGTATTTATACGTCGTTCACAAAGTACAGAGATGTGATCACACCACTCGAGCAAAGAGAATAATAATCTGAGCATTTCTTTGTCTTGTAGGGGATTAACTGCATTCAGGCCAGGCAGAGGCCCTCAGCGTTCAGACCCTGGTCCCCTCACATCTCGGCCGGGGATAAAGAACCGTCCACTCATCCTCTGGCCCTCCTCAGAGACAGGTGAGCCCAGAACGACCGGCTCCAACATGGAGGACTAACCAAACCAAGCTGAGCGCTAAAGCCCCGCCGTTTAAAGCAATTAACCGTCCAGACTCTTAGAGAAGCTTTCAGCGGTCGGTTCTTCACAATCCGACGCTCTTTTCTCTCGTCTGGGTGGGCTGGTGTCACGTCGGTCAGGCCTGACTGTACCGCCGCCGCCCACGCTTCCTGTGGGCACCCGCTTGGCCCGGCGCCACACCACATCACATGATCTGGCCCAGTTTCTCCTGAAGTGGGAGGAAAGAGCTGCATCGAGGCAGTTCTGATCCATTAAAACATTATTTCAGCGATTTAAAAAGAATAAACATAAAATCAAAACACAGAATGTTGAGGCCTGTTAGCAAAATATCTTGTGAACCAATTTTAATGTTTGCCCATTTTCAACTGATGAACTCTTGGAGCCAGCCCGATTCAAGATGGCCGCCTTAAGCAAAACTTAAAAACAGTTTGCCAGCTAATCAGCTAAAGCTTGGTGTGGTAGTAGCCGAGCATGGTCCTCTTCTCATCGCATGTGGAGGTTGACCAACCGGAGCTTCTCTGTAGCCGATCCAAAACATTATTAATTTAAATTTAACAAAACAAATATTGTGTAATCGATTCTAAATACGTTGTTTTTAACCACGCAACTGGTTTTTGTTCCAGTTGAACAATTCACGCATCAAAACGTTCGGCTCTTTCCTGTTCCTGCTCTTTGTGTTCGTGCAACTTTTACTTTTTGAAATATTTAGCTTTTTCTTCCACGGAAAACGAATGGAGCGCCACGCCCTTCAAAACCTTTAGCTGTTTTTCTGCTTCATCTCGTTTCTGCTTGTTTTGTTCTTTTTATC